GACCTGATAACCTGGTCGGTCGCCGACAAATTGCATATCGACCGCATGATAGCCGACCCACCGAAGCTGCAGCTGTCTATTGTTGAGTTTCTCTGGTTTGCGGACCCAGTGAAATTCTGTTCGTGGCTTCTCAGGATGCCTATCCCGCCCACACTGCGGTCGGTGGCGTTTCAACGTGTCATGCTCGCGGACGCACAGCTGGTGGGCATATTCCTGACCAAGCTTGGCCCCGGGCTACGGAATCTTCGTATTGGATGCCGATTTGACAAGGATCCGGCGATGACAAAGTGTACGTGTGACCCTTTCCCTCCAGCGATGTTCATAAGCTAAACGTATCATTTCCCATAGGCTTGAATAGACACATCGACTTGTCGCGTAATGAGGAACTGCGCTCGCTGCACCTTGTTATAGCGGATCTGCAGGACTACCTGATGCCGTGGGTGCCTGCGATCCTGTCTCAAGTCAAGCATGTGCATTTACGGCGGCTGACACCGGAGATATGGCTGCACAACGGGCGGCAGCTGGTCAGCGATGTGTGGGACGAGATTGTGGCGCTTTTGGACAAAGAGTGGGTTGACACGATGCACGAGGTGGTGATCATGCATCGTGGTGATCTATGCATGAAGTATACGAACGCATGGTGGGCATGGCGGTTCCCTAGCCTCGTGGAACGCCGCGTCTTACGGGTTCAAGATCGTTCTCCATTCCTCAAGTAACACGCGTTGGTGTGCTTACCAGCGCAGCATCACCAGGAACGAGCGTGTCCTGAAGTATTTCGGACTGCAATGTCGAGACGAGAGCAGTACCGACACATATTGTTATGCCGCTTCTTGTGACAGTTACCTCGATACCCGAACATCTCTCGATATCTGAACTATGTATATCCTTGACTCCTGACAGGTTCACAGACGCTGTTTGGACCCTTACGTCGGTATCCTTTTGATTAGGATTGCGCCATACTACTAGTATCCTGTTAATTTGAGTATCATTTATAGTGCGGAATATTCGGAATATTGCACCTTTGTGCTCAAACATTGTCTCCCAGAAGGTGTGATATATGAAGGGGACTTGGCTCACACAATTGGGGCACACTGACAAGACCCATTACACAATCATGAAATTGCAGTCAAGGCCCGGAGCAGAGCCACAATAATAGAGGATACGTAAACGCAGAATGTATACATTATGTGTACGCATAGATGGTGCGTCCCATGCGTTAACCAGCCCGGAAGCACGTGTATACAGCTATCCTACAAACATACCGTAGACCTTCACAGCAGAGACGACATGCGACTGACGACTCGGACTGGTGGCACGTGCACACTGGGGCCTTCGACTTCGATGATGATGCGATGACTACCCGTAGTGTCGATGAAGTTAGCGGGATTGCGAACGAATGTCACGCACTGTCAGTCGCGACAAGCCGAGTGTGGATGCTCATGTTGTACCAGAATCTATTAGAGGACGCATGAACACTTATCGACCATCTGCAAACTACCGCAAAGCCGTCGGCGGCGACGAGCAGTATGTTGAGTGACCCATACGCGTATTCCTTTGGCATGTGGGCTTGCTTTAAGCTTAACGAGCTCGGAAGGGTAGTCAGGTTGTACGCAAGAGGATCGTATTGCCAGCTTCGGACACGTAAAGCGAAACCAACGTCTCGACGAAACGAGGTGATCTACCAATGCGAAAAATATAGCCACACACCAGCCGTCACAAATGCGTCAGGGCGCAAGTTCAACACCTCTTCAGGCAAGCCTAGCCATGACACTGGGTCTGTTTGTCCGGCCTGCGTCTGTCTACTCACTCACATTCATACAGTCAGCCGCATGCTGCATTACCCCTGCTTGGTCAACGTACTGACAGCCTTGCAGTGGACAAGCTCCTGAGACCTCCAAAGTCAAGGTGCATCTTTGAGAACACGCAGCAGTCTCAAAGTTGTGCGATCACATGCTTTACAAGTCTCGCGACAAGCTAAGGTGACTTGATTGAAATTCCTCCTGTCCGTATCCAGTGTGACTGTTTCCAGCCTGTGAACACACATCGTTAGCGCCGTTTTATGTCCGCATTCTCGACACATTTACCAAAATATGAATTACGATGGTCTCGCGATTCGGCATGTAGGAATCAGCGCCGTATCGGGGATCGCTATTGAGTCACCAGCGCGCTTGATTGGAACGACTTTGCGCAGCTTGTGGCGCCGCCCCGACATAACGCTGCCGTGAGGTAAGGTCAAGATGACCTCAAAACGACTAGCACAGTGCCTGCGTGCCGATCAACCAACGGGATCGCTAGTTCGCTCGGACTGCTGATGTGGGCTTCAGGTGTACGGACATTGCCGTTTGTTCTTTATCGCAGAGACATCTAAGTTCGAGGTCGTGGGGGGTTTGAGGTACCCTTCGGGTGACGTGCCAGTATGGTGGTGTATTTCCACTCATCAGCCCTGAGGCACCTTACCTCACGATGCAATTGCAGGACATACACTTCTCATGTTTTGTTGACACGTGCCCATGCACGCATTGAGAATACAGGATCCCCTTTGCATTTCCTCGAAGACCTAATCATGGGTCAGTGTGGGACACGGTCGCTGACAACGGTGGAGGCTCCTGGTCGTATAAGCAACCGTGGGGCCAAAAATCACAGCATAAAATGATTATTCGGTTTCTAAAGTAGCTGTGGGGTCCATCAACAGCGAGGAAACGTAGAACCAAAAGGGCGCACCAACGATCAACAAGAGAGAGCCCCCTAAGTACTCGTCCTCGCATTCGCCAACACTTTCCGCGCTAAGTGGATGTACTCCCTCGCTTCCGCAGAGTCCTTCCCTTCAGCCTCGGATATTTTCTCCCAATGTGTCAGATCGCCATCTACCAGGGTCCACGCCTCCTCCTCTGAGTGCTCATTGACCCAGCGTACATACTCTGCCTCCGCCCAACCGTGCAGAGTGTGCGGTAAGGGAATAGGTGAACGCACAAGGATGTGGTGTAGCACGAGGAGTGGCGGGAGACCCGCCGTGTGCGGCGGGGAAGCCAGCATCGTGTCTTCCAAGAATAGCAATTGGCTGCCGTACACATTGTGTGAGAAATGGTTTTGAAACAGCCGCGCATACATACCGCATTGCACGAAGCGCGCGGTAGTCGTCGCCCACGCTCTCCCAATCGGTCCCCCGTTTATTCTGTTGCTGCGACTTATCGGTCATGAAGGCGCTCAGGACGAATTCCAGCTCAGTCATGTCACTTGTGAGCTGCAGCTTCCCGCTCTCGCCGAGCGGCTTTGCAATCGACGCATGCAGTACAAAGGTCTTGATCACGTATTTCACGATTGAGACAACCCTAAGCAGACCCTTAGTTTCATATTCAGCGGGATGGCAATAAGATCCGCCGGCACTCACCAATGCCGACTGAGGTCCGGCACATTGAACTGGTTCAGAATTTCGGCCTTCACAAAGGTCATTTTTTCCACGAGATCCTTCATGTATAAACTTGGACCGCCGCCCATAGCCGACAGCGGATCGAGCGTGTCGCTGAAATCAAGGTGATGCAGTTTCGCAATGATCGCGCCCAGTTCGCGCCGGATTGCTGCGAGAAGCGGGTCGATGATGCGCTCAAAGCTGCGTTTGAGGTTCTGAGCAGGTGTACAGTCAGCAACGTGGATGTCAGCGGCCCGTTGACAGCTGTGGACCTGTGCATTCACCTGAATGCTCGGGCGGATATAGGAGAGCACGCCCTCCGGGTACTCCTCCTGGAGCTTCTCCAGGCGGGAAAAGCAATGATACAGACACGTGGCGAGCTGGGCGTTCAAAACTTGCGACGGAGTGGCTGTCGGCCCCACGAGCAGCGTCGCCGATCTCTCGCGTACAGCCTAGTAGATAGCAGAAATAGTCAACTACTGCCTCCGGAAATCTCGCTGTTTGTGTCCAAGGAGAGACGTACCATACCGTCGGCCCTGGATAGTAACATGTCGAGAGCCGTTGCAACATGCTGCGCAACAGATCGTACCAAAAGAGGGTCGAATTTAGCAGAGTCTAGCTCGTTGGCCACAGTGCGCGCGATATTGACGCCTTCGGACATCCCCGGCGGCGAACGAGACCCGTTGGAGAAGGCCTGTCCGACCACTTCGTTGAGCCTACTCGACGAGCGCGAGAGATAGAGGGATTCAAAGTTCGACACAGCGCGCAGTACGATAACGGTCTCTGGACTGTGATGTCTTAGATTACGAAGGCATCTAAAGTACGGAGGATAGTTACCTCTGCTGTGTCTGGGTGTATACAGTGTCTGTTTGCACAGCGATCTTGGCAAAGAACGAGTGAAAGAGGCGGAGCAATCGCGGATAGCCTGAGCTCAGAGTTTGCTGGATAAAACTCGAGCCTACACACACTGAGGCATGGTTCAAGAACCGGTAATGATACCACTCACCTTTAGCAGAGTCTCGTGCATGTTTCTCCAATGAACGGCCTAAAGAGGACCAGAATATGGAACTAGGCTTATTCTCGAGAATCTGAGAGTCGAATATAGCCGGCCACACAGAGCAGAACAGGTCGTTTGCTCACCTTCATCGCTTCGTCAAGAAAAACGACTTGTGTCATGGCATCACGTTTGAGCTTCAACACGTTCTCCAAAGCATACACCTTTATCATGATCAATATAGAACCAGGGTACAGTAGGATTGGGACAAACTTTGACACAACAGCTTGTCATTTCCTCGATGAGGCCCTCAAGACTACTCCACAACACTGCAGTATACTGTGGCGCAGTGACATTTGTTGGTTCTGTTCGTACGCGTGACTTGTACATCAGCCCATGGGACGCCGCATTCCCTTCTGTGATGTCCGAAATATTCGTGGCACTTAGTCGAATGCTTATAATACTAATGGGTGCCCGGAGTAACGTGCCTTTGGTAAGCACCTCTTTGGAAATGCGGGATAAATCAAACGCATAGCGAATCCGGCCATCGACCGCCTCTGCTAAGTCCGTGACCAGGTCTTGCACGAGTGCAGGGAGAACACGCAGATTGTGGGCGGTCTGCAGGGATGACGCGAGGAGAGATTGGTTCTGCACGGAGCTGTCATCAGAATCCCTTCACACGACATATTAAACCAATACGGACTAGATCGCCTAGACCTGTCATGATCATGGCCTCCATGTCGGATGTTATGCGTGCTCGTGCGGAGTCAACATAGGGGAGGTGGGCAGCAACAACTCTGATGGAACTGAGGGGCACTTTCTTCTCAGGCGTATCGCTGACATCTTGAGACGACTCCGATTGAGAATCGTCCAGCAGTGCGGCTGGAATGGAAAGTTACAAGCGCCACATCAGTCCTGGGATCACATTTTTGGACGGGATATCTCACTCAGTTCAGCTACAGTCAGAGCAGCTTTCGCGATGGTCCGTTCTTTCTCATCCTCGATGTCAGCCAAAGCCGGCGTACCGGAGCGATTGGCGTCGGAAGCACTGGAGGATCCGCTGACCTCCTTGGATGTCTTCCCAGTGTCTATCTCGGCGCTTTCACTCTTGTCCATTTCTGTAAGCTGGACTTCCAGCCTGCGGGTGAGGATCACAAAGCGCGACATGCGGCGGAGGATATCTAACGCCTGGTGTATTTGCTCCAGTTTAGTGACATTAGTCTGCAGGGATTGGTACGGCATCCTGATCTTCGCGCGAAGCCTGCCAGAATATCGGGCGTACGTTGAATGCCAGACGTCTCACGGTCCATGGGTGTGTGCTCACTTTTCGAGATATGAGTCGAGCTCGTTAAGTCCATTCCGTACTGATGACAAGGATCCCTCTAGTTCAGTAACACCCGCCGCCTGAACCAACAATTCTTCGTGATGCGCAGTGACCTACAGAGAGTCGCCTTTGGTTTTCAGGAAGCGTCATGACAGAGGAGGGACTAACCACATTCTTGAGTTGCTTGTCTACATCCTCAATGCTGTAGTTTAGCTTTGAGATCGCCACGGACACGTCCTCGACAGCGGGTTCGAAGCTGGTGTTTCGTGCAGGCTTGGACTTCCCTTGCGGGGGATATGGCTCCCCAGCGAGGACGGCGTTAGCGTACTCATTAGGATCAAAGTCTGGGATCGAAAACACTGCGTATTCTGAGTGCTGATGAGCCATGAGACGCGTCCCGCAATGCAAATCGCAGCAGACGAACCAGCAGACATGCTCAGGCTCTACCTGACGTCCAGGTGATAGACCCGACGTAGAATTCTGCCAAATATTGTTTTCTTGACTTAGGTTCAGTGCAGTTCCATGATCCTGGATCCAAGAGCTTTTCGCGGATAGCAGTACTTGAGACCCAGAGAGATGAGCTGACCCCAGACGCGGTTGGTTGAGAGCCATACGAGCGCCAAACGCACGTGATATCCGGATCGGGCGCGTCTGAATTTGATCGCTGAGCTGCAAGTCTTGCTAGGCTATTTTCGCTGTTAGAATTCTGCAGAATGGTGCAGACAGAATATTTCTTGCTATGCGCTGCCTTCTCAGCTGGGGAGTCAAATAATTGATGCCCTACCATTGTTCACTTCAATTGTAATCTGAGACTCCGACTGCCAAGGCGTATTACAAGCATTTTGGCTCAGACCACAAACAGACTAAGCTATCAAATGCTAAGCTCCGGTACTGAGGAAACTCTGGAACGGAGCATCTCACCGCCTTGTCAGCTGGCTCGTGCATGACGTCGAACACCTCAAAGTATATAGGGTGGTATTCACTCAGATCAAGATCAGATAGCACTAAAACCGCTCTCCTCTACTTCAAGGACAAAGTGTATATCGACTGACCCTATACTTTTGATCTGCTATACACGAGATGGCGTACACATACTATCAATCGACCTCCCCCAGGATGTGGGGAACTCCACAGGTAGGTCTGATTCAGTCCGGAATCCGGATACCGAGCCAAGGAGTTCACTGTCTGCCAGTTCCAATTTACACGTCCTCCGACACCACATTTTGAGCCGCAGTCACACTGTAAGTACACATGGTCAGCACATGACGTCTATGTGCCGTTGAAATGCTCACATTTGCGATGCAGGGAGCGGACTGGACTATTTCCGTGCACATGCTGTTCATGATGATCCGTGAGCGTTCATCCCGTTCGCCGGTTTTGAGCCCCATCTCTAAATGATATTGTCCACTCACATAGCACTTTCTATCAATCCATTGTGGGCCGCATGGCAGTTGCAGTGGGCTCTGGATATCATGAAGCAAGACATTGGCACCGTCGCATTTACGGTGGACAGGTGCGATATTCACCTTTCAGCTCCTGCATATCTTGCCTAATCAAGATGATAGGTCATGTTGGCTAAGACGCTCCCCCCCGATATTGGTAGCGCAGCAGGGTATGAAGCATATCGCATATGGAAGCATCACCATCCTTTTTTTGAACCACTCGGAGGTAATCGCGAAAGAGAGAGGGAAGCCATGATCGGAATAGCTATTGGAGAAGGTGGACTGGCTCACATAAGCCTCATCTATTGCGTCGTACTTATCCTCATATCGTACAGCAACACATCTATGGCATTACTCGGGCCGGTCGCTAGACAATCTGGGCCTCAGGGGTGCCTGCGAGACAGCCGCAGCAACAGCCTCGCGTATCGCAACGAGGGTGCGTCTGCGACAGCCTGCTATCGCGCCCCGATGCGCACACTGACTAATACCCGTCTGTCAACCCGTCAGATCATGGGCGTTGACGGCTACTCCAACGCTGAAATGAGCAATTATGGCCGCGCGCCCTCGTATGATAGCTACAATGACGACTACGCGACACGACCGCGTGCCTTACGTCGTCGCTCGTCCTACTCGGTCGGTCTGTCCACCGTCCCAGGCGCCTCATACGGCATGGGTGCCACGGGCTATGCGCCGCCTGCTTCACCGTGGGCGGGCACGATGTCCATGGCGCGCAGCACCACGCCGCTGCCTGTCACTCAAGGTGCATACGTACAACCTGGGATGGGCGGCATAGGTGTTGTGCCAGGGAATCCAGGAACCTATATGGGCGCACCGGGCGTACTAGGATCAGCTTACGGCGCGGGCACCACTGTTGGAACGTACCCAGGAGGCATCCTGCCAACAGGTGTCCCTGTCCCTTATTCAGCGAACACAGTGAGCGCAGTATATCCAGCAGGCCCGGTGGGCACCGTATACCCAGCTGCGCCGCCCACGTACTCAGCAGGCCAGTACGCCGTTAATCAAAATCGCGGAGGCGTCGCACCGGCACCACCGGGAGTCTACGGCCCTGGATACGCATCAATAATGCCTGTGCCAGGGTACAATACGTACGCCGGCCAGTCTGGCGGCAGGGCTGGATCAACGATCATATCCCGTCAACCTCGACATCATCATCATCATCACCATCGGTCCCACAGCATGGACAGATACTGAACGCATGCGCCATCCGAATCACCTCGTTGCCACCATCAGTATATCAGTGAATATATTAATCTCGGTTGCTGTAATATACGTCGTGTAGTACTAGTGTCCTTACGTGTTTGGCGGCTGATTGTAGTGATATGGCATGCGCGCTGGCGATTGCAGCATCTGTATTCGAGGACCTTTCCTCCCGCGGGAGACGTGACCAGTTCGGAAATGAATCCCTGTACATTACCTCCTTCTGGCCTGCAGCCCACTTCGCGGGAGCACGTCGAGCAGGCGAGCCATTTTGGCGAATCCGAGATGCATATGGCTTCTTCTGACCTCAGATTTCCCCACGTCCGTGCGCAGATTTGCGTGCTGCATCTCGACTGGCCCATCTGCTGACTAGATCTGGTTGCCGGCCGCTGGCACTCCTTCGCAGACAGACTTCGCAGACAGGCTTGGCATTCGCAATTAGTGCATGATTGCTGCCGATTCCTTGTACAGGACGTATGCAGCACGCGCCGTATGCAGTCAAAATGAACGTTTGATCAGGCACCTCATCTGCCACACGGGCCCGTAATCTAGCACCTGGGGTGGCTGTGCGGCACCAAGCGAGCCCACTGCAGCAGCTTCCCTGCACGCGTTGCAATATGACGATCCTGTTGCGTGCAAAAACGCCAAGCCCATTCAAAGCCAGAGTCCTGCAGATGTGGGAAGCCGCCAGCCTTCTCACAGCGGCAGCACCCCGCATGCTGACGGGTGCACCCGCGGGCACCTGCTTCCTCGGCGACGACATCGACCCCGACGCAATACCCCTGCCAGGGCAGAACCGGAGGCCGCCTCGCGGGCGCTGTCGCACTCGCTGCCACCCCCAACGCCCGGCGCGGTCGATTGACCGCGCAAAGCCTCGCAGGCGCCTTCCAGCGACCAACCCCGCGAAGACAGAAGACAGCCGTCAGCGAATTTGCCCGAGAAGCCAGCCATTCGGAATTCGGGAGGGCTCGCTTGGCGTGTGAGCTCCCGAGCGCGTCCCTCGCTGACGGGGCGCGTCCCGGGGCCAGCCTGGAGGTGGGAACGGCGGCGGAGGCATCCACCGCTGCGCAGCCCGACATCGACCGCGAAGATTCAGGCTGCCAGGCTCCAGCGGGTCCTGGAGTGCCCGCGCGTGCCGTAATGAACGCCATGGGCTGGCGCCAGTTCCGTGCCTTTTGGCCAGAATGGGCACCGGCGGAGGCAAGATGTGCACGACAGCGCCTGCGGACGCTCACTTCATTCCTGGAATACTGCTTGGCGTGGAAGAGTGCTCACCCGTTGCGCGCCAAACCGAGCACCACACTCTACTATGACAGCTTTGTGATGTTGCCTGGCTGATCTGCGCCTGCTTTCCGACAGATCGGGGGCGGCTCCGACTAAGAGTAATGTTCGGACACATGCAATGCGACAATAAAGCAGTCTATTCCCTAGTCATACAACAATGCTGGGTATGTCGCAACAATGGAGTGGGATCGACTGTTATCTATGCCGCCCAGCCGTCCACTGTAGAAATGAGCTGGCGCAGGATTGTCCACGTAGATTGCAGTATGTTGCGCTCATACTCGCTTACGGCGGACTGGATAAGCGAACCGTTTGTCAGACCCACACGTTCCGCTATGTACTTTGCTTTCTGCACGAGAAAGGTTTAATGAGCTCGTGTGTAGCGCCTTACTTAAGGACGTACTTTGACATGGGAGCAGAAGTCAGGCATGTGCGCCCGCTTGTACTCCGCCCATGCAAGTAGAATAAGTCCATGCACAGCTTCGACCGAGTACGCCTGGGGCCCGCGCGCGACCAACCTCTGCCAACCTCCTGATTCAGTGACTATGACACCTGTCAAATACGCCAGACTAACCTCGGCGAGGGAACAATACACGGCCGAGACTTCTGCTGCTCCACGGGTAAGAACCTCAGGAAGGTCAGAGTACCTATCCGGCGTGTGAACACCGGGGAACGCTGAGATGCGAAAAGTTACTGACCAGACTGCGAGCGCTGCGATGCTGGCCCCAATTAGTGGCGATAGTGACTGATCAAGGAACTGTCGGATGGTCTCGTCATAGGCTAAGCAGGGGAACGAGGCGCCATAACGGTCGAAATATGTCTGAATGAAGTGCATCATGAGGGTGGGATTCGGGCGGTCTGGCCACTGCGGGTCGAGTAGCGGCAGGATAGATGACTGGGTTGTAGTATGGCGTTCCGAGGTAGCGCCGTAGGAGAAACTGTCGCTGAGAGAACTGGCGGGCGACACCGACGGCTGTGGCACGGGATATGACGCGTGCCTGCGACGTCGGAGAATAAGCAAGTGACCCCGGAGAGAAGGAAGGAGCGACATACCACGAGTTCTGCGGGGGTGAGGGGGGTATGGGTGCCTGTACATAGCTCGGCTGCTGGTAGACCTGCTGCGTGGAGGACCACGATTGCGCAAGGGTGTTGGAATGGCGATGCAGTGCTGCGGAGGAATCCACCGTATCAAGCGGTGGTGAATGACTGAGACGAGTGTTTTGAGGGTTCGTGACTGAGAGGGGTATCTGAGCATTGATCTCAGTCGCAGAAACATCCTGGTCGGAAGACGTTGGAGAGTTGCGGGACACGAGGCGTCCCCGCTCGGCGAAATACTGTTCTCGGTCGCGGAAGCGACAAGGCACCCTTGAGGTAGTGCATGCTTCGCATTTGCTCGAGTTCCGAGACTGCACACACTTAATCTTCTTCAGTCGACTGCAAGGAGGGCGAATTAGGGGGCCTCCGAACGGAACGGTGGCTGTGGCGCATACCAGTGATCACAGGAGGTGACGAGACGAGCACGTTTCTTCTTGGGCTGGCCAGCCTGTGGTGCCTCGAAAACAATCTGAATATCGTCCATGGAGAGCGGATGGGATGGGAGAAGGCGTGTGGGGATGTCGCATTGCACGAATATTTGTAGTGGGACTGTGTTAACCTGGAGGACCTCGCATCAGCATCCGAGCGCTAACGTGCGCTCGGCATGGAATACGGCGTGAGTCGAAAACAAATAGTTCTGGGTTGTCATCAGAACTGATGACGCGCCCAGAGACAGACAGACAAGATCGACGGCTCCCTCATCCACTGGCAACTTCCCGTCGGAATTAGTTATGATTTCCCTTCCTTCCTTTTCCGGCACCGGCCGGCTCGGCTTGCCCCGCGCGCGGTGATCTCTCAGCGCCCTGCCGCGGTCCTCGCCCGCCGGCATCGCGCCGCACCCACCGTCGCACTCCTCCGTCGTCTGCCTCACAATCCCCCTCCTCGACAATCACCATCTTCAGTGTTCGTCGAGCCCGCTTGCTGCTCGGCCGTCGTGTATTTACCCACCCCTGATAAAGTCTGTAGAGTTTCATGTGGCCCAGCGATGGCGACCGACGTTCTCAGCTAGAGTGAAACAGGCATCTCGATTCCCAGCCCCAGGCTCCGGTAAGCTCTCGTTTTAGGTGGCCCTGGTGAACCGCAAGCAAGCTCTGGCTGGCCCGTCCACACAGTTATATTTGGTCTGTATACAAGCAGCGGATTCGCCCCTTTCTCATCGGGGTGTGATGTCGCATCAGCCAGCGGCATCAGTGATCATACGCAGCCCATCGACAATCGCGTATGCACGGCTCCGTCTAGATGACCAGCTCTCGCGGCCGCTTTCGTCGTAAGGAACACAGCATGCGAGATTGTATCGTCGGCACTTCGTAACTCGTCGGGATTCGCTTGTCAGGCCTCTGCAGATTGGCGCCCACTGCACAAATCCATCCATTCTCGGGCATGCTTCGGCCACAGGCGCGCCGGGGGCAGCGCCCCGTCCAACGCCGCCCACGTCGTCCTACCGCTCCCGGTCGGTACCATCCTTCTCGTCCGCCACAGGCTCGTGCATGCCCGTGAGCGCCGGGCCAGACTGACATCGAAAAGGCTCGAAGCGCTCACCGGCCCTGCGACATCGCGGCCCTCATTGATAACAGGGTCCAAGCGCTTGCAATGTGGCATTTGCAAAAAAAAGTATGTGCGGACACATGGGCTGATTTGCGCTGAATTGATAGAGGACCCGCCCAAAGCGGTAGGTTCCTCTGCAGCTAGTTCCATACCACCATGTGCTTCTCAATGAATATGTCCTCGTACCCCAGAGCCCAGATTCGCTCGCTCGCCCGCGTCAGGCCTTCTTCCACGCCATGCTTAAGATAGCTACTGCAATGTCTGATTGTAGCAAGATATCTCTTGTTCCCGCAATCACAATGGCCGCCCATGATGGGTGCGAGGCCGGCGAATATGTCCGTCGCCGAGGAACAGCACTCGATCACCGCCCAGCTGCGACTTGGTTTGCGGCGATGCGAGCCTTGCGGGAGACAAGCGGCAGTGCGGTGCTTTTCTCAATTCGCCGGGGTGGACTCTATCGTGGCCAATGAGCGCGCAGCCGCCGCTGCGCAACAGCGGCAAGTGTGTATTAGTTGCGCAGATCCATCCACCGCCACCGCGAAGAACGATCTCGTTAAAAAAAGCACTCGGCACACATCCTAGTAGACTGCGCCCGGTCATCAAGCTGGAAATACTGTTTAAAGACCTGGTCATCGTACGCCGTCGCGAGAGAAGTGGAGCATGAAGTCGTAAACCTCACAGTACCGTCTTTCCCCTGCATGAACGCCCAAGACGACTTCCCCACTGCAGTCCCTCGCGAGACCCGAATACCTCGGCTATGCAGGCGCTCAGGCTGGCATCCCGCAGCGTCCGCTGCCCCGGTAGCGGTCAATGCCGGGTCACTTGGCAAATACGCCGCGCACCGTGTTCCTCACAGCCCGAGTGCACCCAGCGCGGCCGCGCGTTCGCCGTAAACAGTCGCGCTTGACGTCTTGACGCTACGCCACATAGACAGCGGCCGCCTGCTGGGGTGTGGGCACAGGCGCGAGTGCCGGCGGAGACCGTCGATGGGCCGCAATGCCGTAGCGAACGCCAGGACGTGCTGCGTAGATTGGCCCGGAGTCGATCATGAACGTATCGCTGGTATCTGCTTGTCGCCCGCGGCGGGCTGATCGGCGCACGTGGATCATCTGCTTAGACACTAGTAGTAGTCAAAACTCGTCATATAATGCTCGCAATCTGACAGTGCGCGCTAGCCGCTCGCTGTGCTCATCGATACCTGGGCGCAGCAAGTTCATCCTAAAACTCGCCTTTGTAGATCCACTCACCCTTCTCTCCTACACGTGCGGTCAATCATCCCCGCAGACCGCAGAAGTCCACAAACACCGGTGAAGTTCCTATCTGAGCACGAACAGAAATGAGTAAGTAACTGACCGAACCCGCAGTCTCGCGCACAGGCAGCTGCGGGAGCAGTGGTGGGGTCGTCCAAGATCCGGCGTCACCAGCGTTTAGTGATCAGTCACCGACGAGTAGGCATCACAACATATAATTTACTTTCACGTACTCCCTACACATTATACTGCCATCTGAATGCCCCCAACGCATTCAAGGCACCCTTACGATCCTACGCGGTGATCCGCCGAACTTGAGCCGTCGCAGCTCCGCCCTTACGCCTTTAATGTCTGACATCCTTAAGCGGCTGATGGGACTGATCAACCTCATCATCGGCTCCGACATCGAACAGGAGTTCCTGGCCATTCGGCAGAGGCTCCTGCGCGACCATCAGTTCACGTTCTCCCGTCCCGTGTGCAGAGAGTACGTACTAGTCCAAGCCCGTGACTTTCAAAATCAGGTTCCGGTGTCAGTGGACTTGTCTCGTCAGAAGCGCCCTCTCGCAATGGAAGGCTTTCGTAGGGATCGGACGTATCACCATCGACGACAGGATTACCGTGCGCGTCAAGGGACACGGTTGCGTCCATGGATTTTCGGTACTTGTGGTACGTGTATAGGGCGATACCTGTGGACCATGAATTTCTGAATATTTTCGCGCTGACTGCCTTCGAGACGCACCGCAAGCAGTAATGGCTACGCCTGTGATATTGAGGGGCGTCAGCTCGTCACCGAAGAACCATGCGGATATTGTGATTGTGGTCACTTCCTTCGCGATACCGGCAATCGACATAGGGACGACGCCTGCACGCTGTAGGATGCTACCGGATCATGATCACATAAGAATCGTCGGGATGATTCGGTAGCAGATTGAATTGAGAAAGCAGAAGACTTACTAGAATTCACTAAGCACCATGCAAAATGCAACGATGCCAGGGGAGATAAGAAAGAACATCGTCCGCAGAGCTTCCTGGCCGACGAAATGATGGCTACCGAATATCTTTGTCCAGCCGTCAACAATGAATGTGGTGATGACGAGAGTGAGGCCCATGATAGGCGCGAGCCAGTACAGAGTGGCAGCCGGGTTGTCAAAGCCCATTTTCTTACTGCGCAGCAGAAGCTGTGTGAGAGCCCAGCGGAAGCCTCCAAGGGCACTGCCAGCCATAACGAGTAGAAACCCGGGTAGAACAAAGTGCGTCTCCGTTGCGACCATGAGGACCACGCCCACGAAGATCAGGGATATCACGCCCACGAGGCGCAGGGAGAAGGTTTCCAGCCGGAATAGGAAAGCGAACAAGAGGACGAAGATTAGCGACGAGGACTTGCACATGGCTGCAATACAGAGGAGTAGTCAGCAAGGAAATACGAACCAGTCAAGCAAGGGAGACGTAAGCACGGCCTGGGCGCATATTGCATTACGAATGAATAATTGAAGACGGAGCTTACTATAGAAGGACAGCGTGATAAGTTTCAACGACAGGTTAGAGAGTCCGATGTCAAAAGCTGTCGTAATTCCCGTTGGAACGGCCTTGCGTCTGTGAGAAATCATCCACTCAGTTCATGAACACGGTACCACGATAGGGAAGGAATTAAGACGATGATCGTGGAAGCCGTTTCCTATTGCAGTGAAAGGCGTAGTACTACCCCGTCCCTCATTTGTCAGCCGTGAAACGGCAGCCAAACTCATTGCAATAGTGGTTCTCAAGATGTATAGTGCGGGATTTCGGGTGTTTCCTCGCTCCTCTGCGACTGAAGAGTGGACTGAAGATTCCTACCCGGTAGGTCTACAGTATTTGAGATTTGTAAGACCTTAGGCGCCGTTCAGTAAGCACCCCAGAAGAATTTGGCCGGGATTAGGAAGACCGGTCAGGGGGCTCAGGTAATCCTGCAGCCTTGACATGAATTCAACACAACTACATGCTGTCAGCGAGTAGGCCTCTCACTCGTGGGTTCCTCGCCGATGCATGATGACAGCCAGGCACTCTTTGGCTATGACGCGAGGTGTGCCTGGCTTCCACGGGCTCGGGTTTTGAGGTGTAACGATGACATATACGTGATGCAGAAGGGTCTATCGCGCCGTATAGTTGTCGAGGCGGGATGTAGGCAACTTCCACACAATGTCCTATAAGCCGATGGACTCACAGATAGTCCGAAGGTGTCGGATTGCGTTCCGGGCGGAAGTGTCGCGGCCAAATCAATCGAAGGAGAGCCGCAAGGATGAACTGAACAAACATGTGCAGTGTGGTCACGAAGAGCGGCGAGGGGAAGCCAAAGCGGTCCGGAGAGAACATCCATTTGTTGTATACGGAGAGCACAGTGGCAAACAAGAACCTGTGCGAGTCGTTGAGATAGTGCCGGAATTTCCGCATATGGGTGAACGCCTCTGCTATGTAGATGCACACGTACCAAGAAGCTATGAACGCGGCATTGATGAACGCGTTTCGCCACCAGAGCCGCCTTTTTTCTGCCAGAGATGCAAGGCGTGTAGTAGCGTCGTCGTCGAGCTCAACATGGTTGCTTTCCAGTGCAGTGTGAGAGTCAGAGTCTACGAGCGTATAGCCATCCGAGTCGGTTTCGTAGGTCATTGAACCGGAGAGACATGCAGGCGCTTCCGCGTGGCTATTCACATCACGAGTTCTCGCCGGCGCATCAAATCCCCCATATGGCAAGCTGATCACTTTCGCACTGAGGGTTCGGAATGTCTACTATATACAGCCTCCAGGATCACTACAATACAGAGTTCCGAGCACAGATCGTGTGTGTAATAGTTCATTGAGCGGGATTCAGAATGGGAGCACCATCGCCATCCGCTGTCGGTTGAGGCTCGGGATTTTGCGCGTTGGATGTCTTCTGGGGTTCTCGCCTAGTGGAATTCAGATCGCAATCGTCTCAAGGACCGGTTGTTCGATCGGTCGCTTACCATGTACGCCAGTGGTCGAATTGCTTTTGGTTCAAGTATTCTCTCCATTCATCTTTCCCAATTTCTTGTCTGAACTGCGCTTGCTGGAGCAGCTCCAGGTGATGAAGTGCATGGGGATATCTAGGTGTTGTGTTCATTCAGTGACTCACGCGACAATCTCCTGTGGCTTAAGACGAACAGGATGAAGCGAGCATAATCTTTTTCTTTCCAGTACAACAGGTACTTCAAGAAATTCACGAAAACTGGCTGATTTAGAATGCCTTGCTGAGCAAGAGAATGCAGATAAAAGGGATTTGCCAGAGACTGCACGAACTCGAGCTCTAGTTCGAATTTTGCCCTGTTAGCAGCTCGCGGATCTTCTGGTTGAGACATGGCGGTAGGAGCTTGGCTGGAACAAGATGTGTGGCGGAGGTTGTTTGGATTGAAAGCCGATGCCGAACACATCGTGATGGAGGGATAACGTGACCCAAAAGTTTCGGACGCGTCATTTAGCGCCGGACGCGCCGCACTTGTCCGCACTCCTGCTTGAGCTCGGCCACAAATCTCATATCTTCTTTAACAAGCAATGTCTGCAGAGGAGGACCAGGGCGGATGGCAACTGACAGAGTCTGACCCGGGTGTCTTCACGTATGTCCGTCGCAGGATCCCTAATTTCTTTCTACTTATGCTCGCCGGTTGCCACAGCGAGCTTCTGAAGTCTCTGGGGGTACCGCTTGTGGTCGACGACCTCTACTCTCTTGATCCGGTTTCACTTTCCGAATTTCAGCCCTTACATGCGTTCGTCTTCCTGTTTAAATGGGTCGGATCTTCTGCAGAACCTACTGCCGGACGGTATGAGCCCGATTACCCTGGGTTTTTCGCACACCAAGTTGTGAACAACGCGTGCGCCACTCTCGCAGTAATGAACGCGATTGGGAATATACCTGGTCTTCCGATGAGCTCTCAGCTCAGTGACCTCATGAATTTCACCAACGGCATGGATCCTCAGACTCGGGGGATGGCAATTACCAGCTCGGACTGGCTGCGGGAAGCACACAATACGCTTTCCCCTCCTTCTGCGATTTCGCTAGACGGCCTAGGACTACCCAAGACCGCAGAGGATGCATACCATTTCATTGTGTATATGCCTAATATGGGCTGCGTATATGAATTTGACGGTCTGAAGCAATACCCGATCAATCACGGACCTTATCAAGAAAGCGGAGAAGGATGGGTCGCGAAGGCAAGGTACAGTAACGCGGGTACTGAAGGCTAGACTTGCGTATTGATGGTTCTTATAGGGAAGTCATCGAAGCCCGAATCGGGACGTATCCGACAGGCGCGGTCAGTCCCGGCAACATTCTTTCTCAAGGTTGGTTCTAACAGGTCCTAATTTCAGCTCGAATTTAGCCTGCTCGCACTACACGATGATCCGATCCCCAGCCTACAGGCACATCTCGTTGAGCTTCAAGCAGCTGGGAGACAATCCGAAGCAGCAGACCTTGTTGTCAGACTGTCGACAGAGAACTCAAAACGAGAGCGCTGGGCCGTACGTCTCATCCGCACATTGCACCGCACACTGCCTAATCGACTCACAATCATCTCAGTTTGAGAATAGCCTGAGGAGGCATAACTATGTGGGCTTGATTCACGCCCTGCTATTGGCAATGGCCAAATCTGGCAAGCTTGAGGCAGCAAAGGAGGGCGCGAAAAAGACCATGCATGATCGGATTCAGAAGCGGAAAGAGAAAGGCGAGAACGCCATGGATGAGGATTGACGCTTGACGGGCATGCGGAGTCTGACGCAATAGGGGACACCGACCAGGTCGCCGTTGCGGCGTGTGTCGGTTCCTCGCCAGCAGTGGCCTGATACTTCCTCGGACGATACTGTATTCGTAGTATACTATGTGTAATGATCCGAGGCCGTTTGTCGACTTACGGAACCAACAACATTGGAGGCTCTCTGCGGCGTTAGCGCGGTGTTAGGAGCACCTCGGATTGCCGCCAGACTTCCCTGAGTCGCGCAAAACCGGATGGGCGACACCGTCTAAGTATTACTCTCGGCCGGCACGGACTCTGTAGGCTCGCTAATCTATTGTCCTGGCTGATCGATCGCAGGTGTCATATAGGATCGAAAATGGATCTTCTACTTCTCTTACGGCAACCGTCAGTGGTAGGTTTGACTTGACTATACTTCATGTATTAAGGGGGGATGGCCATGAGACGTATCCCGGGAGTTGGCCGACAGCGGTGCGGTTGTATTACGGCGGAACAAAGGCCCTGCCAAGCACTGTGACGGTAACGACGATTCACGGATGGTCCACCGGATTCCAGCTCAGTGCACCCTCCTTTCCCTTGTCGAGAGCGTTGAGCCTCGTCATTGCGTCGTCGTCGAGACTGAAGTCGTAGAGTTGGATATTTGAACGAATACGCTCGGGTGTAGCGGACTTGGGAAGCGGAACAAACCTACGTGCAAACGGTCAGCTCGGCCCACTCAGGCGTGATGTATCCTTCAACGCCTGAGCCCACCCTTTTTGGAGGCTCCACCGGAGGAGGATTTGAGCGGCCTCCTTGTGATACTTCAATTCAGAGTGAGCTTATGCAGCGGATAGGAGATATCTTAATGCTTGCCCGCTCAGCGAGTTCCAGAATGACTGGATGATCCATCTTGCCCCTCAAGATAGGACAGTATGCTTGCACTACAATTGAATGAGCCGAGCAATAGGAGACTATTGCTTTCTGCTGGCAGAACGGGTGGAGCTGACATATCGGAAATCATGATCGCTCCGCGCAACATCTACGAGAGGAACATGGCACACCTCGATTTGGTTCACTGAGGGCATGGTGTAGCCTGCCGCCCTAATCTCTTCCAGATGGTGCACACCACTTCGTTCAGGATCAGACAAAGATGTGTTTCCTGTAACGCTTGATGCTTCTTACTAGTTTGAAACACCTATGCTCCGGATCTTGCCCGCCCGCTGTGCGTCTTGCAATGCTTTGTATGTTTGTAGGCGACGGTCACATCCAGACATGGGATCGTGGATCAGGAACAAGTCAATGTACTCTACCACAAAGTAGTTTCTCCATTAGAGATTAAACATATATGTAAAAATGCATTGAACGAACCAATTCCGAAGCGTTCGAGCGAGGCATTCACACCCTTCAAGGTACTTTCATAGCCATGTGTCTTGTTGATGCATTTAGTGGCTTCAATGGTCAGATATCAGCGACAGACCGTGTATTTTTTATTTGATAATCGCCCACTTAAAAATACTTCCCCTCTCGGTAAATCGCTTCCTTTCCAGGCGGCGCCGACGTGTGCTTCGTTGCGGTATGCCTGCGCTGAGTCAATATGTCTAGGTAAGGACGCTCAGCGCGTGTCGACCTCATCCCAGCAGAAGCACTAGCCGGTATCCTACTAGAAGCGCCTCACGGACAGACTCGGTTGTCGTGTAATTTTGGTACACGCCGAAACCAAGCCTTGGCATGTCAAATCCTGGCCGAGCGGTTGATTTTAGCTGCTTTACGAGGCCTTGAAGATAATGTACCAGAAGATAGGAGGATCTTGGATCCTGGATGAAGGGACTCCATGCCTGTTTCCTTGACGGTGGCAACGCTCAGGGCTAAGAGGTGGGCGCGAGCTCGGTGAACAGGGGCTACCTGTAGGTTGTAGGCGCTTGTGGGTGCATGATCGTCCAATCCACGTGCCACTGCTGGATCCAATCGCTACAAGGACTTTGGCTCATTCGGTGCGACACTAATCCAGCCAGCGAGTTAATGTTTTGTCTACGACCTGTTCAGACAACCCAGTAGTACAATCTCCACAGCAACCCCACTTGCCCCTTGAGTCTTTCTGCCCTCAGCTCATCGTCTGCCTTATCCGCCGCGTCTTCTTCGTATTCGTCTCGCGTCAGATCCACAGTTGTGGTATCTACAATATCGTGCCATCGTGGCCGTCCTTCCTTGCGAGCCTGAGACAAGAGAGGAGTGGTGGCGGTCAGAGGTGAACCAATGGTCTCTGGTTCGTGATCATATTGCTCCCGCACCGGTCTCCTGACAACCATCCAGCCAACGAACATCACCAGCATCACGGGGATCTCTACGTAAAACGAGACGAAGTCGACCGCAGAGAAGGACGGGATCACGGACGACCAGCCTTGCACTGCGAGCGTCCTATCAGCAAGCGGTTACGGACTTAGGAAGTTCTCCGCACCTATGATCAGGAACACCACAGAGATAACCTTGACCGAACAGTTGGGTCAGCAAGTCGAGAGTCATGATGTACTTGACAGTAGCTTACGACAAAGTACGGGCCCCATGGCCACGTCCATCTGGCTCGAAACTTCATCTCTTCAAGTGGCCGACCTTGTTTGATCCATGCGCGTCGGAAACTCCAGCTTGCCAAGCCGATCGACAACCACGCGATCTAGAAAAGAACAAAATCAGGCCACGAGGGCACGCAGCAACGATTTGACAGACCTGGTTGGAGACTCCCACAATATTCTGGAGCCAGCCCCACACCGTGCCGCTGCCAATAAAGCTCGAGCCGAAGCAAAGTACACTCACGCTGCTAGTCGCAAGCAAGGCGGCTAGCGGGACCCCTCCCGGAGTCAATTTGGAGAAAATAAGTGGTGCCTGTCGCGGCGCAGTAACAGAGAGGCCATACAGCACGCGGGTGCCGGCGAACAGGGCGTGATTACCGGCGGAGAGCACCGAAGTCAATATTACAGTGTTCATGAAGGAGGCGGCGACATCTGTGACAGTCGTTGTGAGGAGGCGAAGGCTTTAGGAAGACGGGGTACACACTAGACCCAACTTCTTTGAATACAATCGTGAACGGCGACGTTGTCGTGGATTTATTCGATAATCCAGGGTAATCCCAGGGAACTGAAATTACAATTAGCCGCTGATCCCGGGATGACGTTGATGTTCACCGCGTCAGCCACGCACCGTTTAGACCAATGAGTGCAATGCTCAGGACGTAGAAAAGCAATATCCTGAAGCACGGTGAATTAGACGTATGTCGGGGTGTTTCCGTAGCTGCAGCCTACCTCCAAAACACAAACTTGACGACGCGAGGCATGTTACGCGAAGGATTCTTGGTTTCTCCTGCCGTGATACCAAGGCTTTCCGTCCCCCCATCTGTCTCACAGGGTTTAACACATCTGAGGTGTCTGGGAACAAGACATACATACACGCAAAGCTCGCCGTGACGAAGACGCGAGCGAATCCGCCGAACCCGCCCACGAAGGGCGCGCCCTCGATGTGCCAGTTGCGTGTGCCGATGTATTCATGCTCGCGGTTGACGCCCACGTTGACCAAGATGCCGACAATAATGAAAATGATCACCGTGGCCACCTTCAGCGACGATAGCCAATACTCTGTCAAGCGCAGCACCGGTCAGCGGCAACACCGTGAAAATCCTGAAGCGGACTCACCAAGTTCACCATAGGCCTTCACATGCGTCGCATTTACACCGACAAGGAAGACCCAGAAGACGAGGCTGATGACCCAGGGATGCCAAGTCGTCCAAAACTGAAGGACTAGCTGCGCCGCCGTGAGATCGGACGCCACGGACACCGCATCGTTGAACCAATAGTTCCATGACAGCGCGAAGCCGTAGGCTGGTGAGAAAAACCGCGTAGCGTAGGCGTTGAAGGATCCTGTGCGTAACGAGTATCAACGGATGTGTACTTCATCAAGATGTCTGGAAGGCATGATTGGGACAAGTTCACAGATCCGACCATCAACGGAGATGCGGCTCACGAAGTTGATGGTGTGCGGGATGTACGAGACCGTCGTGAAACAATAGATGTTTCAGGAGCGCACGGTCAGACAAATTATTTGACGAGCATCAAATCATGCAAACCTACCGCTTCCCGTTGGCAGAAGCTACGGCCCATGCAGCGATATCACACCGAATAGGTCATAAAGACTGCCTTACTTGTGTGGGTGTAATGGCGCAGCAGGTACAATGGTCCGGGGCCTTGGGGCTAACCCGAAATGCAAAAGAAATATCCTCACCAGCAACGGGGTATTGAGTCGCCATCTCGCCCAGCAGCAGCAATGTCACGTAAACGATTGCGCCCACGATGCCATAGCTAAAACGGCGCGTTAGCAAGAAGTATTACATGAAGATAGAAGCACGTACCATATAAGCATACTAGCGGGGCCGCCCTGAGCTAGCGAGCGACCTGTACCCAGGAATAGCCCGGTGCCAATGGTGCCGCCAATCGCAATCATTGACACTTGTCTTGCTGAGAGGCCTCTATGGAGCCCTCTTTGCACCTGGTCAATGGGTGGAACTGGCAAGACTCCGATGGGGACGTCCCCCTCAGAGTCGTGGGCATGCTCAATGTCATGAGTTCCTTCGCTCCTCGCACCATAGTCGGGCTGTCCCTTCGACTTGGCTGTTACTCCAGTCATGGCCCCTGCGAGGACGGCGGTCGTGAGAGGAAGTGGCAAAATCTCAGTCAAATTGTCGCAGGTGCGCGGATCATACTGTCAATGTTACATATGCACGCGCCAAGCGTATGCAGAAGAGGGCGAGCGTCGAGTCGGCGGCCCTCCTGAGACGCGCTGCGCCATCCTCGCCGACAATTCGCCATCAGTTACGCCAGGAGACGCCCATACAACGCGGTCACCTGATCAACAAGGACGCGCGGTCGCGTTACTAATGGCCTCCCATCTCTCTTGTCGTCGACATCGACATATCGATGCTACCCTGACAAAGTCGCAAGCAGCAGACTACAATATTCCCCTATTTCTGCTTGTTGCACAACGCATTCCCATCGCGCAAAGGGGACTGAAGGCATGGTCGAGTCCAATGCAAGGTCATGTGTACAGAGGGCTCTTGGAATGATTCTACGAAGAGCGTGAGAATGACGCCAGAAAAGCCGCCAACAGAGGACATCCTTGATGGACCGGAATCGATGAGTGATTGGCTTGGACACACCGATGAGGCCTACATAAGTACATTTCCCACACCGGCGCACTGACCACGCGACTCGGGCCGGCGTCAAATGTCAATAAAGAGTGGTGTCCGGAGCCTGCGCAGGTTGAAGGAATTGTCTACTCTGCTCTCAGGAGACTAGTAAAGAGTAACAGTTGGACGTGGGCCGATCCAGCAAAATAGGCTATGTTCTCGCCCATAGGTTATAACCGTACCAATTACAACCTCTTGTGTTCATTGTATCATATAGCATCTAGGACATCAAATGAATTTGAGTCGAGCATTGTAGCTAGGGTTTCAGTGAAATCCGGGGACCAGAGCATTGGCTATCAATTGCATGGACGGTAGGTCTCGGCAGCGGACCGAAATGCATCTGGATACGGTAGCACGGCCCTTGCAAGGGGTTTCCTTGTCGATAGGTTACTTTCATCTGTCAGGTGGTGGCAAGTCTGTAGCGAAGTCAACTGAACCGCAGAGCGGCCATATAGGGCTAGGTCACGGTAGAGTCCAGAGTTACAGTGCATATTAATTGCGCTGCCATTGATCGCGTTCTTCCGAGTCCCGGTAAAGTGAGGTGCCCAGTATAACGCACTCATTACGCCGCCGTAAACTAAATGTCGGTACATCCAGAAAAGAATTTATACTCGCATGTAAGTATGTCGACCGCCGGTGGTCACCAACCAGTTCAGTTGATCGTGATCGAGCGCAGGCCGATCGGCTGTTAGCACGTGGTCACATACATTATTGACTCGATCATGAAGTGGCCAAGACGACTTGTCTGTGTTCCCTCTGTTCCATCCTGCTCTCCGCTTCGCTCTTGTCTCAGCTTTCGTTTTTAAGGCAAGACCAGACTCTTTAAGCAGGGATTCGAGCGCGCTAACCTCGTGTGACAGGAACACCCTAGGATCTTTTGCCGCGAGCAGACTTTCGAGGCTGAGCGAGTCCCGCAGTATGGCCAGTGTTATTCGCGGCGCCATGCGGGCGCGCATTGCGCCTAATGCTGCAGCGTTGAGACCTCGCTACTTCTCTGTCACCGCACGCATGCTATCCGACTCGGAAAGCGCTCCACCCAAACCACCCCCGTCTATTGACGACTCAACGTCTGCTCTAGACTACAAAAGGAGGACGACGCTGCAGCACCGTCCCCCACCCCTGCCCACCATGGACCTGCGCCCCCGGTCGGCGGAGGAGGCAGTGACGAACATTCTGTACAACACGCCGCCACCAAGTCTGCAGCCCTTCAAGACGTAAGTCGCGCGCCTTCCGAGAGTGCATGCCAGCCAACCGAGCGTTTCTCTTTCCCCAGGCACGTCTTGAACTGTCTCGTGCAGAACGAGCCCGGGGTGTTATCCCGCGTGGCAGGCATCCTCGCAGGGCGCGGGTTTAATATCGACTCGCTCGTCGTGTGCCGCACCGAAATCCGGGACCTCTCCCGCATGTGCATCGTCCTGCGCGGGCAGGACGGCGTCATCGAGCAGGCGCGCAGGCAGCTCGAAGACCTTGTGAGTGCACCCCCACCACCTCACCATGCGTCTCGTCCCATCTGACCCCTCCCAGGTCCCTGTGTGGGCCGTCCTCGACTACACCGATACGCACTGCATCGAGCGCGAGCTGCTCCTCGTCAAGGTCTCCATCCTCGGCCCCGAGTACATCGAGGAGCAGCTGCAGGGCGGGCCCACGCACGAGCCGCGGCGGTTCCCGCCCACCACCGGCACCGACGAGGACAAGCTGCAGCGCGAGATGGCGCTCGCGCAGCACTTTGAGCACGGGGCGCACCCCCACCCCGAGGGCGACGCGCACACCCCGCCGCCGCTCACGCCCACGCAGGCGCTGCACCTGCGCAGCGACAACATGAACGCCGTCGCGACGCTCTCGAAGCAGTTTGGCGGGCGCATCGTCGACGTCAGCGAGAACAGCGTCATCGTCGAGATGAGCGGCAAGACCAAGCGCGTCGAGGCGTTCCTCGCGCTGCTCAAGCCGTTCGGCGTCCTGGAGGCGGCGCGTACTGGTACGTCGAACGTTGTTCGAGATGCAGACCGAGCGCGCTCACACCATTTTTACAGGCCTGATGGTCATGCCTCGTACACCTATCACACGGTCCCCAGAGGACGACGATGATGCAGATGCGGTCGATGCTCTGGATGCCAGCTTGCTCCCTCCAGGCTAAGCGCTTAACGTTGAATTTGAGCCGGAGGTATCTCATACGCCAAACTACGCCTATCTCATATTGCCCATATCATATGTCGGGCTGTCAAAAGCCGTCAGAAGCTCGGAATATTAGTGCGTCATACAGAGAAAGGATGCAAAGCGGAAGGTGTATGTGCGCAAAAGCTAGTGAGCTACGGGTACATGTACGTGCAACTGAGGAATAACCATTACTTAAATACATTGCATGCAGGCGTGTCCAACAACAGCAACGTCCCATCCCAAGCCGAGGAGCAGAATTAAGATATACAGTATGCACAGGCGCCGATACTGATAGAAATACAGTTACGTCCGTGTTCGTGAGTTGGAGACTTTGCGCGCGGTGCCTGGCGCAGGCGCAGTCGCCTCAACGGTCTCACGAATCTTGCGTATCCACATGGCTGCTATCGAGGAGCTGCCGGCTGAGAACGAATGCGACTTTGTCGGCTGAGATGTCGCACTGTCAGTATGATACCAGAGCCGTCCACCGAGTGGTGCTCACCGTCATAACAACAAATTCACGCTCGCCCTTCGGCTCGACGCCCGATATTATATTTCTCCCGTCCTTCTCCTTCTCACATGGCTTGACAAATACCTGGACCCTTATTTGTGGGGACCGCGACGGCTTGCGCTTAATGCAGACGAGCCGCTGGTTGGTGAGAATCAGGTCTCGCGTCTTCATCACCTTCTTGGGCGCGACCGCCATTGCGAGTAACCGGCTCGCTCTGCGTTTCGGCGCGGTGCATTCTATACTGGTGTTGAACAGAATATGCTCGCCTTGCCCGAGCAGCCACACCCTGGCGGGGATGTCAATACTAGAAGGCTTTCGGCGTTGAGAGTTAGACGCACCATTCTGTCTCGTCGGGCGGTCCATTGCCTTGGATTGGCGTCTGCGCGCGATTTCGGCCGCGATTGATCCCGGACGCCTCCAAAACCGCTTCGAGGTGCTCAATCGGACTACCGTCCGACGAGCTTGTCGTCGATTCTAATGAATACGCATCTGTAATGGCAGCGCGGGGCACCGGGACATTGATAGGCTGCGCCTTCACAACAGAAGGGACATTCAACAACGAGGGCACGCCGTTCACCGGTTCGTCGTCCACAACCGCAGACCCAATTTGCTGCGGGACACTGGAGAACCGGACGCCGGGCATCTCACTAGACGTCTCCTGTGTGAAGCCATTTGTCGGAGGCCTTGGGAGTTCCTCTGCGCCATTGCTGAGCTCTGGAATTGGTGGGAAGGCGTACGGGCGCCGCTCGCCCATGGGGCCTACCTCTTCATAGTAGGCATAACCGTTTGGGGTGTTTGTCCCGGGGCCCGTCGTAGCAGCGGTCTCCCCATCCGAGGCCCAGCTAATGTCGTCGTCCGGGCCCTCCCCATCGCCGACAAGTTGATCCCATTCAGCGCCCACATCCTCCCAATTCCGGACATTATTGGCGCCTGCGTTCTCCGCCTTCTTCACCAGCCCAGGCTCGAGGGGCGGCACCGGATCTGTCCAGAGCGTGGCCCAATTTATCGACCCGAAAAAAGGGTGCGCACGTAGCGCCTGCATGTCAAAGCCACTCCCGGGTGGGCCAGCCCCCAAGCGTTGCGCTGGATCGCGGACCTGCACCCACGCAGACCGGTTGAGCAGGTGTGCGCCCACAACAAGGATGAAAAAGGACGAACAAGAAGCTTCTGGACGAGATCCTTGGCCTGTTCGTCAAAGCCCTCGGGGAATGAGTAGTCGAGCTGCTTGATCTTCTGCCACGTGAGGTACTCCGACAGCCCCTGGAACGCGAACCGTCCAGCAATCATCTGGTAGATAATGCAGCCCAGGGCCCAGAAGTCCGAGCTGTGACATAAAGATAAAGCCATCTGTCGATAGTGCGAGTGATGATCAGACACACCTCTTGCTCGTCTCGCTATCCTCAAGCAATTCCGGTGACACATACTGCGCCGTGCCTACAAACGTCTTGGTGCGCTCGCCTAGATAGAGAACCCGATCAGCCACAGCCAATCACAGCCGGCAGAAGCCGGCGGCATCGAACCGACCTCCCGAATCCAGAATCTTGCCCGTGCCAAAATCTGTAATCTTGATCCGGTAGGCATCATCCAATAGCAAGTTCTCCGGCTTGAGGTCGCTGTGCAATATTCAGCAAGGCAACTCGCGGGCCGCAAACACTGCTACCGCGCACCGGTGAATCACCCCCTTCGAGTGCATATACCCCAGGGCGTCCACAATTTGGGCAGCGTACCAGCGCCCGCACGCGAGAGACAGGGACCCCATCCGGGATATCCGCGTTTGCAGCTCGCCGTTCCTGGCAAGGTCCAACACGAAGTCTATGTCGTAAAAGATGAATGCTCGGAGTCAGATAGAAAATTGTTCAGGCACTTACATAGACTCCATTCATCCTGGAACGCCCAGTGTAGGCGCACAATCCCCGGGTGCCCCGCACCTAATCTCACCAGCGTGTTCTTTTCTGCGAGAGCGGTCGGCAGTTTTTCGAAGCGTTTCAAATGACCCTTATCGAGTATCTTGATAGCATACTCCTGTTGAGTTGTCTTGTGTTTCGCGAGCATCACCTATTACGTGACAGTCTGTCAATGTCACCGAATAACGGGAAACGAAGAGAGCGGATTCAATGAGTGGTGTTATAACGGAGGCGAGAGAGACGCATCGTCTCAACCCGCAAGTCAAATATATCTGCACCACGTTTTGTTGCAGTGCCGCGGCGAAACAACGTCAAGAGACGATGTCATTGCTGTGGAGCAATGGTACCTTGAAGCCAATGCCACCTCATGGTGGGTGTAAGTGTAAATTAGAGCACCTTGTAGCTTGAGGGCGACAAAGTCCGACACCCAATGCTCCTCGGCTCCGCCGCGCAGCAATGTTAAAATAAGCTGCACCTCCGCCATCCGTTTTTTGACCCATAATTACTCAGACGCGCTGGTACCTGCCTGCATCTGTCACTGCGCTCCCATACAATAGCAGACGCAGGACCGAACCCAGCCAAATGGACTGTAGCTTCGGAGCACATGATGACTCACCGTCGAGTATGAACCCTCCCCCAATATGCGTCCAAACTCAAAATCATCGGCAGTAGTACCCATACGGCCGTTAACCGAGCTATTACGCGACTTGGATGGCGCACGCGAAGCTTGCGGCCTTAGTTCGGACGGTCCGTCGTCTCTTTCCTCGGAAAGGCCCAGCTCCCGAGCCAAGTACGCGGGCGGTCTCGAACCACGCGGTGTGGTGGGCGACTGCGGACTCCTCGAGCGTACGGCCGTGCGTGGCGACGAGAATGTCCTCAGAGGACGTGGGCGAGCAGGTGTCTGCAGCGTCAGGTCGGATGTCGAACTTGAGCTGGACGAGGAAGAGATGACGGAGGCATTTCTGCTGAGGTCCGCTAGGGTCGGGGTAGGCTGTGCAGAGCACTCGGGAGACGGTGAGGAGACCTGGATCTTAAGCATGCGCGGAGGAGGAAGAGAAGAAAAAGAAAAGAGAGGAGAGAAAGACGATGGTCGGTGTGGAGAAATAAGTAGCTATCGAATTGTTGTGGGCGGGCGAGGTCCAGACCGGGTCTATACTGTCGCCGACTAAATCCTACGTCAGAGACCGCGTTGCTCGATTCGGACTCCGAAAGCCTCTGCGATTCCCACGGTTACAAGTTCTGGCGCGTCGGCGACAATCTGCTATCTCGCACGCCCATCTGGGGGCCTGCAGCAAGCTGAATCATACACTCGGATCATACATCGGCTCGGGACCACTGCCGCCTATGTTCGGGCGACGACAAACGGGCGCAGTGCATCCCGTGTGGCTCGGACCATATTGCTATGTGGTGTTAGAACTATCCTTTCGCGCTCGCACGCCCTTTGGACCCGCGGCGTCCCGCTCGTTGCTGTGCACAGAAGGCTCCCCCGGGCGTTGTCAATGCGACGTGTTCTAATCGAGTACCCCAGGTGCGTCTTCCTTAGTCAAATTAATGGGGGCACGCACGTCCTGTTTCGCACGATGCCTATGTATAGTGTCGTCCGAATGTCCCAATGAACGATACCTCTCGAATCTTTCTCAAGCCTGCGCCCCCGGGTTGAAATTCAGCTGTGCTCATTCGTCATCCGAATGGGCACATGGATATGCGTATGCCCAAGTACGGCTTCGAAGATCGCATGACCGGTGTGAAGTCATTCCTCCGTTCCCGATTCCATCAGCGGCAGAAGCACACGAATGGGGCATGATTTCTGACATGTCCGCCCTCGTTCTCTGTGTGGGGTACCGACCGGGGCTTGAGCGGGGCCCCGCACTCGATCAGGGCTGTTTCGGGAATCTTGCCAACTATACTTAACGTGCTGAGCCAATCCCATGCCGCCACCTCTTGGACATACCCCAGTTTTCCTCGCCGCCCGCGCGACAGTTGCAATGTTGCTGTCAGGTGGTATCCTTCCCGTGACTGACCGTGGAGTAGCCGACATGCGCGGACATCGTGTGAGGCACTAGCTGTGCTTTGGCAAGAGCTACCTGATGGAACAGACCACCGCCTCATACGGTTACGTGACCTCCGACATCCTGGGGCTGTCGTCATTTTGAATGTCTTTATGAGGAACCCCATGCTCGGACCATGGCGGTAGCTATGCTGGCCTAAGACCCAGTACGTCTGTGAACGTTATGACAATGGCCAACACCACGTTGCATACTTGTGACAAGGTCATCTCGGGCAAAAGAGGCGATCATGATGCATGGTGCGTGACGTATTCGATGGCGGGCAATATGGGTATCTCTTGACGAATCCGCGATTACCCCACGCAGCGTTCTCATCACGCCTACCGTGCAGATTCAGCAACCGGTGTAGCATCAACATTCACAGACTTCCAATATCAAAGCCTCTCATCTACATGCACTTGTCTGGAGTCCTGCCACCGCGCAGCTCGGGAAACGAATGAGATCGCTATACATGCTGTATACATGGTTGCGGGAGCCTTCACCTGCTGCATGTCTTAATTCCTCTCGATCCTGCTCGCTGGCTGGTGCGATGAATTATGGGCAAGGGGATAACACAACGAAGTTTTCCTACACAGCTCGAGGAAGTCTAACACTGACTTCTAGCTCCCCAATTTAATCGGCCCTTGAGGCGAGCTGATGTTGTTTATCCGGTTGTTCTATAAATTTGAGGTTAGGAGACATGGTCTCATTTTGTGAGTGAGCTATGAAATCGAGGCTGTGGAATGTAGGTACAGCGAAAGAGCTAATATACAGCTTTAATACATGGCAATCCACCTCTCCCCCATAGAGCGGGAAAACCTCCGACATTGAAGCCGAGCCATTCAAGATGTCGCCGGCGTGAACTTAACAAAGACAGACCAATAATCTCAGGGACACGAACTGGATATGCCTATCTTGGCGCCTACAATAGCCTCTCAGCGTAGTAGGATCTCGTTGATTGATCAAGAAGTCGATGGACTCAGTTATTCGTATTGGAAGCAATATATGTGCTCTGGATCTTTGCGACAGCCATAAAATATGTGCAGGTGGGTAGCTCTGAACCTTGCTTCTGTTGCTGTCCTTTTGGTAGCAGGAACACGGCCGCGATGTCTGGGTCCGTGCATTGATAGGAGTGAGGAGTTAGTTGTATATGACCCACCAGCGCAATAAGGTTTTGTGCGGATCTGCATGGACTATTTCGTTGAATTATCCCTTAATATAGAACCAGGCGATGACTAGGGCCGCCGACGGCCGTTCACTGTCCATAAAACATGACGCATATACTACCACATATGATTTATCCAGCAGAGAATATCTCCGCATATTTAGCACAGCATTGCTTGTGGGCACGATATCAGCGAACAGGATGTGTATTCTCCTAAGAACGAGCTACGAGCGTCATATAGTTCGGGATAAACCTGAGCCCAATCTGGGCTCGATCAAAGGGAGGTGAGCACGTGCCAATCACTATGACGTTGTCCATATTTGGGTTGTGTGGTTCAGACAGATTCGGTCATCTACCCTGTGCACTGCCACTGCGCAGACAAAGGCTGAGCTATTCCTCTGACATTGCCAACCTTTCCGAGTGCTCTCAGCGAGACCCGTGTTGTTGTATCTGTGTGGCGCCACCAGCGGAGATCAGTTTCGGTACGGCTTCCGAGGGGTTGCTTCTCGCATGATGTCTGCATCAGCTGCCCTCACGCTGAAGACCATTCCACGGAAGCATCGTAAGTAGAGCAGCGAAAGTCCGCGACGACATACGCAACTCATGCTGCGCTACCCAGCGGTTGTCGATATGACCGCCAGCTCCAGGAAATCAGCGGTCGAGCTGGCGATGAAGGAGTCCATGCACTCCGTATCTTTCCTTGACGTCAAGTTCTTTGCATTCTCGCGGAGGCAATTCAGCGAGGATGGGACGGTGCGTGTAGACAAGCCACAACACGTGCTTGCTATCAGCAGCGTCCTGAGGGAGGTGGAGTATTTCGACAAACGTACGTATCGTGGAATCATGAGGCACGTCTGGGTCACCTCAACATTCATTCATATAGTGCTCTCTGGTGGCTTTGCCGAATCCAATGGGAGGGCGTCCGTTGATGCTGCCTTCCCTGAGGATCAGGCACCGTATACAGATGAATATGACTACGAGTCCGACAGTGATCTAGAAGACGACGAGCTAGAACCAGAATTGGAGGAAATGGCGTCGCAGTCGCGCAGAGGTCAGGCATGACCAAAGCCACTTAGCCCATTCATTTGCTGATCTTCAGCAGCCGGGAAGCAGCGAGATACCTCCAGTGGCGTACAGAGCGCATCCTATGGTGGACAATGCCAGCGAATTGTTATTAAGGACGCAGCGTATCATACGTATGCAGACATTCTCTGATTCCCCTATAATGCTACTCACGTTCCAACAGGTGGCGCGCCTTTGTCTTCTATCTCTATTTCAAGAAAGTCAACTTCCTGCCGCTGAAGTCTGAGGACCCTCAGGCCAGGGTGGCCGCATTGACACAGGCACTAGATGATCCAGAGGCCATTCCACCGTGCTCGCCGAAGTCGATGTATCGTTTGGCCGAGAAGGTGATATACCTGCTCTATGGCTAAGATGGTTCGCTCATTCACCATCGGTAACACAGTACGGCATAACAGACCTTCAAGATCGCGCTTTCACGGAAATCCGATCACAGCTTTCACCCAAGAACATAGTATCGGAGATATTCTCGCGGTTCACATCCAGGTTCGTCCATACATTTCCTTGCAAGCACGCTATGCTAACTACTGCATTTCAGGTATGATAAGGTTCGAGAACTCGAGATAGACTTTCTACGCGCGCATCACCTTGAAGTCGACGAGGCGCTTAGCGTGATCCTTGGCAAGGTCGCCCAGGGCGAGTTCCCACACACTGGCGAGCTCCTGAAGACCCTTTTTGATATCAGGATGGGAAGACGGTCGGAAGCGAGCGAGAGCTCTACTAAAGCTCTCACCCCAAAGATCAGCAGCGAGCGCCGTGTCAGGCCACCAAAGATACTGACGTCTTCGGAGTCTATGCAGTCTAGAGACTCGTTCCCGTTCCGAAGCAGCTTCGCCCCGCCCCCACCGTTCAGACCGGCGTTTGGGAACGTCGCGCCGGCGCCGGCTGCCCATTCTGCATGGACGACCTTCAGTCCCCCGCAATTCATTGAGGATGATGACTACTAAAGCATTTGGATATCGCTACACAGGTAATATGTAAGCTATGATGTTGTATACCGCTATCCTTTCCCTATCGATGTACAAGTATGAGTATGCTGAGTTATGCTTTGTTCACGCTTGATGCACTGAGATTTCGTGCTACCATAGATGCCCATACACCGTATGTCCCATCTCTCAATCCCATTCTGCGCCTGCATCAGTTTACAGTATCTCGTAGGATATATTCTGCAATTCTACACATATAAGAGTTGTGTTCGGACATGTTAACTGACGCCGTGTGACTTTGCCCACACCCTGCCCGGTAGACTGAGCGCGCCGCCACGCCTGCATACTTCTTCGAGCACATCACTGTTCAAGTCCGCGCCCATAGCGCCACTGACGTCTAGCGCGACCCCGCGCGGCCTGCTTGGATCGAAAGCGACGGAGATTTCGACCATACCTGGGATCGGCGGTCGCTCGGGCGATGCCATTACGATTCTCGTACGGTGCATGTGTGAAGACATGGGTTGTGTGAGTGACATCCCACTCATGTCCGTGGGATCGAACAAGGGTTCGGGTGGAGGAGGGGCGGGCAAATAGACGTTGACAGGAATCCTCCGCGGCGTCAGTGTGCCTACTCGCGTCGTGAGCTGCCGCGTATACAAAGACCCACGAAGGGTATCTTACCCTTTAAGATAGCTTGCAGGTCGTCTTGTGTAGCCTCCGAATCGTCTATGTCTTCTCCCAGTCCTTCACCAATGTTGAGACCTTCGGGTGTCCAAGTGTACGCGCTGATGATCTCGTTCAGCCAGCATTGTTCCTTGACAATCTATAAAGCGTTAAAGCGACGTGTATGCATTATCTAATGTTAAAAAATCACCTCCAAGATCCCCCAGATCTCCTTCAGAGTATGCACAGGTACTTTCTCTAGGATGAAGCCAGGTTCATCCGGTGCGGTGAGACGGAGATGAAGTTGAGGGTGCGCCCCTGTCGGTGAGGTCTATATAGAGCGTTATTCACATCAAATGCGGCCCAGTAGGACAACGTTACATACATATAGTGTGGTATATCGTTCGGGAGATATTGGGTTGGCTGGATTTAGCTTCGGTCAGGAGACCAGTCAGTCTCTTCCGCATTCCCGATGATATCTTCACGTACTAATAGATCTAACCAGCTCCCGGACCCGAATGCCATCATTGGCATGCTGTCTATATGTGACATCCCACTCAGAGGATTGACCACAAGCTCGATCTCCCGCATTCGCGACTGGCTCATAGTTATGCCAGAGTGTTGCCCACCGTCTGTGAAATCGAGGACCCAGGTACGGGAGTCTCCCATCATCGAGGTTACCTGCGGGAGAGTGTGGTCAACCTGAGTGCCGGTGAGGACGAGCGGGAAGGTGGGACGTGAGCGCAGATCGGACATATCCATGGCTGCGGGATCGGACGAAGGAGTTGTTGTGGAGGAGAAGACGAGCGTGGCAGCTGTCACACCCTGAGGACGTGGATAGGATGCGAGGTGCGCGCGGAGATGTGGAAAGGGGATGTCTAAGTTTGAAACTGTAACCCGTTGTGAGAGAGACGCAGGTGAAGGGCGGGGGCATGTTCGTAGTAGGGCTAGATAGGCTTGCGGCGAGACATGTGTCAAAAACGATATGGATGCGCCAGTTAAATAGGGAAGGGGCAACGTGTGTGAACGCGCGAGAAATACATCTAGTGGGATATGAGTGTCGGGGTGCATACTTTACAATGGTGAGCCAGAGTGAGGATGCGACTTATGAAGGAACTTACCCCACAATAGCCTCGGCTTCCATCATTGCAAACTTTTCCGTCTCTTGCGCCAGTGCGTCAATATCACTGAACCAGCGCAGGCCGCCGTCTCCTTCATTGAGCGCTAGTTGGTCCAGCTGCATGAGATAAATTAGATCCTCTGAAAAGAGTCTTCCGAATCTCTCTGCCCGTAGACAGTCCTGTTCTTCTGGCTCTTTCTGCACCTCCGTCAAGAAAGCCTGCAGCCGGTCTGCTAAGAACCCATCCAACGATAGAGAGCCCTGTGTCGTCGATCCAGAAGCAGTGTTTGGGATGGCGTACGACGTCTTCAGGCCCGCAACCGTGACCATAGGACAGTCAGGATCGCTCCTGTTGACTGAAAGTTCAACGTCTATCACGAGGACCTTTCCGCCCAACACTACGGTCATGCGCCCTTCTCGCTCCTCTTCCCTAAAGGTCTCCATCTGCGCAGACGTTCCCCATGCCTCCAGCCTGCCAACACACCAGTCGACAATCATCGAACGATCGAGGGGCACGTCTTCGCCATAGCTGATCCCTGTTCGCGAACGGAGGGTTTCTAAAGTGTGGCCGATATTCTGGTCTGACTGATGAGGATGCAAGTGAGTGGTCAATATAATACTGGAAGGACTGCAATCCTGACGAGATGGAGGGTGTGTGATAAATTGGCGTGTTGCCTGTACAGAGACAGGAGCTTCGGGTTCGCAAGAGGTAGGGACAGATGAGAGCTCAAAGAATGCGACAACTGCGTCGTGATGTCAGCGACTTGATGGAGCAAAGAGATCGTGCTCTCTGGCTCCGCGAAGAATGGGTGGACAGAAGAACTAGACAGCGCAGATTGTTGCGAGGCGAGGCCTTGAACAGAAGACAATAGCGTTGGTGATGCCATTTCTTGATCCATCGTTTTCAGCAGGTAGAGGAAGATCTTATTGCCTTCAGCCTTCGAGGCGTTACTATGTACTGCCTGTACAATACTTAGACGCAGCGTCTGGTATCAACGAGCACTGTGTCAAGCGAATTTGTAGACAGATTCAGAGAGCGGTGGGGGACCACAAAAGACGTCCAAGCTGCGCGCGATTTGAGTCGCGTTCAAGTTGTTGGCGCCAACCACGATTCGGGCACGCCACAATGGACGCGACCACGTGCCACATCCCAGGATAGCCCGACGCGACTTGAACTTCTTCTGGCCAGTTGCCACATAATATATGGATATCCTGAGCTTCCGGATGTTGAAGTACAATACATTCTGCTAACAGTGGAGATCAATGGTAGCGGGTCGCTGCTGACACCACTGGCACCGTCCGTTTCAAGTTTGCCCCATCTATATGCTTCGGTGTCAAGCAAATGTTTACAGGTTTATACGATGGAAACAGCCACGAATGAATTCAGCCACGAGTACGTTCACCATTCATCTGACAAATCTACGCTAAACACTTGGAGAAACACAGTGAACCGACCACAGGTATTACATTTATGCTTCCTATATGTTGTAGTAGGCATGACATGAACTACAGCGGACCTCCACCTGCACGTCATTGCTGGTGCGAGCGTGACCGTTTGGACACTTCGGTTTCTCAAATGACATCGCTAATTGTTGGCACAAAGAGGCCAGTATATCACCTCCATAGGGAAGATCACCACGCGCCATCTTGCTCGTCCATCGGGACAAACCGTCCAAGACCTTTGGTGAGCTCCTGCATTTCTCGCTCAAGAAGTCTAGCTCAGCCTTCTGCACATCCGGATACCTGATGCGGATCAGGGGCCTTACACAGTGACTGTCATCAGGGGAACTCTCACCAAGAAGTGAACGTAGAAAATAGCTCGGCGAGGATGTTTCCGGACGATAGCTTCGCTGTGATATCTTTCAAGGCCAGTTCTTGTAAATCTGTCATGCAGCACTGGAGCAAAGTAAGCGAGTTGCCTGCTCGTGGAGCAGGGAAATACAAACCATCTCAGCGAACCTGTACATTGATTTGGGAGAGCACCGAGGAGTGTCGTATGGCTTCGCCGGACCGACAGCTGGCGCGTCACCTTCTGAGCTGAGAGCGGAAAACTCCAGCGCTCCCGTCATCACGTAGAATGCGAAAGCGCGCAACCTGATATGCATCTGTAAATAATTTACGCATGGTGTTCATCGTAGCCTTGTGCTCACGTTGTGTATGCCACGTTCTTGATGAACAGTATTTGCGTGCGGCCCCCGTCAGATTCCATTGCACGGTTCACTGGCAGAATAGAGCTTGATTCTGGTGCAGATACTGGGACCTGAAATTGACAATTCAGTGCAGGTCAATATAGCGTAACAAATTGTAATGCACTGTATCACCACAGACATCCCCTGTTTTGACGCCATCTCTGACCTCAGACTCCGCAGCGTCATTGATATTCTTCGAGAACAGCTCCTCATACGTGGCGGGCTCGCCGAAATCGTCAGTTGGTACTACATCTTCATAGTCTTCCAGTTCAAGATCGCTGTCGGAATCGTACTCGTAGCAATCGGTCGAAGGTTGGCTATCAATTTGCTCTTTCCAGCCACCCTCGAGTGCTGTGGGCACAACCTTGGTCAGAAACAACGAGCACATCTTATTTAGACACATACGTACAGCTCAGAAAGAATCCTGAAGCTATCTTCAGTGCGCCGCTGTTGGCATACACGGGGCGCACCCTATCTACAATGCCATCATGCGTGCGACGAGAAAAGCAAAAGATGCGAGTGTCGACGAATGATCCTCCGGTGACAGCCATATTCACCGCAGAGCGCAGAATCTGTTCTTTGGTTGCAGACTGAGCAATTGGCATTGACACCGGCTGCGTCTTCCCCTTAGCTCCCCGATTTCCCACATTCTGGGGTGTGAAATCAGCTTCGTGTTTTCTCCCCTTCTGCTTCTTCTTGGGCGCGATACCGGTCATTGAAATTTTGTGAGACAGTAAGCACAAGGAAGATCGAAGATGGGGAGGGGGAGGGGGAGGGAAGCGTGTAACGACGTGTTGCACATCTCACAACCTTTAAGTTCTCTCGGCCAGAAGTTCTTTCTCTTCTTTTGAGGATTACGTGTAATCCGCGAGGGTAGCCACGAGTTTGGACACGAGACCTACTTGGGCGACGTATCTGTTGATCTTATTCCTGAACGGCTACGGATGGAACAGAGACATGGCAAAATTAGAGCATCTGTTCCAGCCACTCGGGCAAGACCGCTGGTCACTCTGGACCACATGCAGCTCGATTATGGCGGTACTACCGGGTCGCATCCAATAAGAACCTTTCGTAGGAAACCGGATCTTGATCTCGCGAGGCTAACATTGTCACTTTGAATGATGCAGTCAATGGAGTAGGGTTGCATAAAGAATGTTGACTCGCAGCACTGCCAGTGGTCTGTGAACGAAGCGATACGTATAGTGTCTGGATCCAGGCATGCTCGTCTTGTCGCGGCCAGATTGTCTGATCGGGCGTTTCATATGAGTGAGTAAGGCAGGGACGCCGTAGTCCATCGTATCGCCAAGATCGGGTGCCAGAAGTGGGCGGAGGACGCGTGTTCCATATCGATGGCATTGTGGGTCCACAAGAAGACACGAGATGACCGGGTCAGGAGACATGAGGACATAAGGTTTTCGTAGGCTGTTTGCTGGTTTTTCCTGGTGTAGCATGGGCCCAGCCGTGCCGAGCTCATACCGGGTACCCTGGAGGAAGCATTCAATATTACTCGAGGCTGGACTCAAACTAGAACCGAATTGACATGCACAAGATGGAGAGATCTCCTGCATCCCGGATGCACGGCTTCGATCGCACTGTCTCGTCGTGATGGGCAAGTACCAATGGCATGGCATTCTTATGTGACGCCAGCAGGACCATCCGAAGATGGGCTCAGGGGGCGCCAAAACTGAACCTTACTAGGAGTGAGTCTCAGTCGGAACAAGCACAAGTGTCGCTTGGACATCGTCAGCATAGGTCAGGTGCGATATGCAGACTTATCTCATGCAACCATCCCATAGGTGCTGACCATCGCATTTGCGGTTACCACTCATCAGCAACTCAAAGCCCTCCCTTGCGTTTACACATTGGCGACGTGTCATTCATGCCCTTTCCAAACGAACTGCTTGTCAAAATATTCTCTGCGCTTGATGCGCCAAACCTCGTCAATTGCAGGCTTGTAAGATATACTCTCAATCACGTCGGGTTGAACCGTCCTTATGCCCGTGTTTCGCATACATCAGGAAAAAACCCCTGGGCTAATTAGAGCTATTTTATATATATTACACGGCCAGAGACTGTATTGAGATAAACCTGAGTTCACACGCACCGGGAAGAACCGCAACCCGCGGATCGGGTTTAACCGAAGTCGACCTTGGCTCCCCTCCCATCCGCCCGTGACCCAGCGCCGCCCTGAGACAGGAGTCGGGATGAACCCAAAGCCAGCCAGGATGGGGTCGACGCTGAATCTTGCTCCGCCCATAGACAGGGGCTCGCTCACCTCTCTCCCTGCCTCCTCCATCCTCCCTCTCGCTGTCCCCCTCGCTCGTCAAGAAGGCCCCAGTCGTCATTAGCATGGCCCCAGCACAATCTACAGTCGCTCCTCAAACTGAGCCGAGTCAGCTAGATTCAAGATGTACTGTACTTCATTTCCACTACTTGTTCAGTACTAACAGTACCATTTGCCAGGGTGGACTCCCAGCACGGGCGACAATGCTGGACTGTGGACCTGTAGCGCCTGCCATGACGGCCGCTGGTTATGCCTGCGCTATGCCAGGCGTCATCAAGCTTCCACCACGCATCGACAGACTGTACTTTTTTGCCTACAGACCCCTGATCCTGACCTTCCGCCCCCGCCGTTGCCTAGCAACCTTCCCCATGTCATTGGCCCCCTATACCAGTTGCCCCATGACGTCACAGAAGCTGCATCCATCGACATGGCCCACTGATACAACGGTCTATACTCCTATATTGATGCCTGACTCGTAGATGACGAGCGAGGGCTTATGGACAGTATGTCGTCCTGAAGATCGAGCGAGGAAGTCGAGAATGACCACTACTCCAAGCAAGGAGGAGCAGAGACTTGAATGAATAACCAGGTCGAACTTAGGGTTTGACCGACTAATGGTACAACTACTTATACAAGTACCGGCTACGCACGGACCACTGTATCTGTGTGGTCGTGTTAGTAAAGAAAGAAATGTAGTGGTACGATACCCAATATGAAGTGCGCACGGACCCCATTATGTAGCTTACATAATGGGGTCCGTGCGCACTTCGTACTCAGCATCGTACCACTACGTTTCTTTTTTCACTAACATGACCACATAGACATGATGGTCCGTGCGCAGTCGGTACTTGTATAAGTAGTTGTACCATTAGTCGGTTGAACCCTAAGTTCAACCTGGTTATTCATTCAAGTCTCT